ATTTTATCAGTTCAGCTTCAGATTCTGCTTATTGATTGAGGTTCTTATCGAAACATGGTCCTAGTTATTGTCATTTTTAGTTGGGAGTAAGCAAATAAAAATGTATTTTCCGCAGATTTTCACTCTTTGCCATGAGGTCTTTTGCGATTCTTGCGTAAAGGTCTAATGATTTTTAAGTCTTGCTTTCATTTTATATTAGCTGATTCTAAGGGATTATGAGCGCAACTGGGAACATCACATTCTTCATGCAGCTGTGAAATGAAGTAAATGGTTCATGATTTTTGATCACATTTTTTTCTTGTTTGACATTTAGCCACAGCTTAGTCTGCCATACTCTAAATACTGCATGTATTTTGACTCATGCGTATGCAGAAACGTAAGTACTCCATAAAGCAACAGGTGCAAAAATTCAGCACAAGGAATTGTTAGGAAATAAAGTTGAAAACATGGTTATATGGCAAATATGGTGGTGTGACTCTTTACATGCCCCCCTCTCTCATCAGTTGTATATGACGACACATTATTGAGCCAATCTGTGACGACATTGCTCTGTCGAGGGTGGATATCCCCATCTGTGAAGCTGTAGCGGTGCTTGGCACAGCATGGCTAAACTGGACAAACCTGGGCCCATGGAAAATTCCTAAGACACACACACACACACACCTACAAATATACTTCCTTCACGTTGTGACAACCACCCAGCCAGTTTCTCTCTTTAAATAAACCCCCTCCTCTAGTCTCTGCTCTAAGCTGTGTGACTGTAAAGTGTAACAATAAAGCAGCTTATGACTGGATGCTTTTATCTGCTACTTGAGCAGCATGTACGCAATTCTCACACACACACACACAAACACACACAGGTCTGCAGGTCCAGGAGGAAGAGCAAACGGCCCTGCGTTATTTTTAAACTCCTCCTCTGGGAGGAGGGGTGGAGTAGTGCAGCATCAGAGCAGCAAGCATGTAAGACTTCTCAGCTATGACCGTCCACCTCTGCCCTTCACTTCCCTGCTGTCTCTGCTTCATTCATAAGCCAACACCACACCTACTGTATGCTGCCATGCGCACACAGCATCCTAGCTTTATCACCCGCACAGACTGCCACCAACACACACACCATTTTAAATTCCAATATCCCCACAGGTGATCCAGACAAATCCAGTCAGACACACACAAACCTTCAGCCCCTGAACCAATGCAGCAAATATCATTATGGAATCAATGCAGCCTTGAATCAATCGAGGCTGTGCCTGTGTGTGTGTTGTGTGTGTGTGTTGTGTGTGTGTTGTGTGTTGTGTGTGTGTGTGTGATAAAGGGAAGAAGTTGATAACACCATGTGCCCCTGTGAGGATTTCACCAAACTCCATGTTTTTTGATTGAAAGGAGGCGGGCAAGGTATTACCATAACCTTCCCACCACATGTCTGCTGTTAACTCAATAATGCAAGAATGATTTCACACACACACACCACACACACACACACCCACACACACACCCACACACACACACACACATTGTTGCTATGCACCATGGTAAATTCAATATTGTGTTCACACTCCAAAGCCAGAGTGGGAGTACAGTCGGCAGAGAAGCCACAGCCTCAGCTGTAAATCAATAGATTAAATAGAAATGTATGAATAAAACACAAGATAATAAATAAAAGAGGAGATGGTTTACTCTTGCCGTCATATACTGTACAGATTCTTTCCCATTTCAGAAAGAAAAAAGGGGAAAGGAAAAAAGGAGAGGGAGCAGTAAGAAAGATGACCAGGGAGACAGAAACAAAGAAAAAAAAGAGTTCTTGTTGTGTTTTTAATTCTCATGTCTATCTTTCTCTGTGCCACTGTTTTGCATGCTTGCATAAGAAGTATATCTACTTCAGGACAGTATGTATGAATTTAACTTATTTTGTTATACTATATATAGATGTCAGCACTCAAACATCTGTGTGGCCTTGGCTTTAGAGTCACATGACACAAATGTGTGTGTCCTTTTGTATGGTTTGTGACTGACTAAGTGGCTTTAACTAACTACTACTAGTTGACAAGGAAAATCTATAGTCAGGGACAGACTATTACTACAAAGCGCTATTTCTCAAATGATCAAATGAGATGGGGCAGCCCCACAACCTACTTGGCTTCTTTTATTTGATTTATTTTAAGTATTGGCACACATAGGAATCCGATTTATGATAATACCAATGTTGGATTATAAAAGTTTTAACTTATACCAACTGTTAAACTTTAGTATTGTGTCTTTTTTCTAACTAAGGCTCCAGTTGTAAACCTGACAGTTCAGTGAGGGGGGCACTTTTGAATTGCCTCTCCAAATATTTTTTTTTTCTCTCCCAAGATTTGTTTCATGAATGCTAATTTTATGTAATAACAGGTATTGTTGCAAATTGGACCAGAAAGTATCATTGTGTGTGGTACCGGTCTATGCAAATAGTCTATACTTGACTTGACATACCTGTCGTTGATGCTCCAGTTGAGGCAGAGGTTGAGGGAACTGAGGTTGCGACATTTCCTCACCACCTCCATTACAGTCTCATTGTTGAGCTCTGAGATGTGCCGCAGGTCCAGGACATTTAGGTTTCGTAGCTACGGGTGAAAAAAAACAAAAACATGTTGAATTATTTAATAATGTCAAATTCAAGTAAATAGCCAGCTAGTTTTTTATTATTAAATGGAAGGAAGAAAGCCATTGTTATATTGCACGGAACAAGAGACCAATTAAACTTAAACTGTAGCCTACATGTCATTGGCAAACAGCGTGTTGTTACTGGTACTTAAGACTGAGGACCACATCTGCATCTCTCTGGACTGAAGTAACACTTGCAGGTATGTTTACATGCTAAGCTAACGTGCTAAGCTAGGGTGCAGGACAAGACATGTGTTGATGTTATTGTTTGAAGTCTGTGGCTCTTGTGTCCGGCTCAGTGTGACAGTCTCTCGGGCCTATGATAGAATGCTAAAGTCACTGCTTTATGAAAGATTTTACTGGCTGTATCAAAATAAAGTCTCCATCTACAGTATAGGGACACCCAACAGTATCAAAATTCAAATTAAAGCAAAATTAGGAGGGTATCATCATCAAATCTAATTTTCCCTTTTGATTTCTTATTTTTTCTTAAATGAGAACACAGGGCAGGTGATTTACAGAGCAGATATGTATACTGTAGCACACAAAAAAATCCAATTTCATTTCAGCCAGATTTTAACAAGTAAAAGTAAGTTTTTAAAAAAAAATCCAGTTATTCAACACAAACAGGTACACAGGCACACAATTTCCTGTCTGTATGTTCATGAAGGAAGCAGCAGTCGATTTGAAAAAAGGAAGCTACTGTAAGAGTCATATTTGTTGAAGGCATGTGTTGTATACACGCCTGCTGAATTACATGGGTGGTTTTGATATATCCCCATGGAATGTGGAAAAAATCTCTCTTTACCCTGAGCAAACTTGTATACTGCCACATGTACTGAAAAAAAAAATAGCATGAATGCAGAATAACAACCTAACAAGGCAGATAAATGATAGAAAATTGCTCGCTGGTACTGTTTATCATTCTGTGCCTGCATGCCTGGTGTGAGGGGTTATGAGCCAATATGAGCATTCACTTTCCCTCTTTCTTTCATCTCACCGACTTTCAATAATCCCTCTTTCCGATCTGAATACCTTATAAGAGGGGGTTTAGATTAATCCTCCAGTCAAAATCTCTACTTCCTGACACACTCTTCGAAACCCACACTGACACACTGTTCAACAAGCATTCCTGCTCACCGAAAATTACCAAAGGCTTTTCAACTCACAGCACAGGTGTATTTTTTTCTCCGATACACACTCAGAACTATTTAGGGCACAGGTGCACACACACGCATACACACACCAGGGATGAAAGATAATAGAGGTATGATATTCCGGCCAGCCGCCAGGGAGGCAGGGAGGTAAATGTCATGGCCAAGGCTAAAGAGAAAACAAGCTTACAGTTGGTGTTAAGATCACTGAGCACTATTGTCGGCTCCATAGGCATGACATATACCTACCAGCATGAAGACACACGGGGGTGGGGGTGGATATGGACCAAGGCTCGGTAGGTGAAGTAAGCACACATGTAAACACTTCTCCCTGTCCCCACATACTGAGAATCAAAACACACACAGACTCCAAACAAACACGGTGAGTGTGTGATACTGCACTGCGCTGAAGGTAATAAAAAAGGCTTTCAAAACCTTTACCTCTGTGTAGCTGCTGCATTTTTCTCTCTATTCTTATTTTGTCAGCCCTCAAGAGAAAATTAGATGCACACCTCTTGTGATAAAAGGTCTACTTAGGCATGAAATAAACATGAAACAGATTTTGATTGTGGCATAACCGCACCTATATTGTACAGATACGCTGAGATATACTAATGAAATAAACATTAAACAGCTTGTGTGTGCAAAGATGAGTGAAGAACGCAGCAGTGATCATCAGGGACAGCTAAACTGACATGCTAAACAATGGTATTTAATGAAAGGGAAAAACCCCGAACTGTGTGAATTATCATAGACACGCACGCATACCAGCAGATGCTCACACACATGCACGAGAACACACATAAATACACGTATACACACACACACAAACTGTCATGTGTCCCAGTGGCCAGTGTTGGATCGAAGTGCTAAATTATTCATGCAGAATTAGGCTGATCTGTGTGGGCATGTCTGTGTGTCCGTGTGTTTGTGTGTGTGTGCCTGTGTTTGTGTGTTTGTGTGTGTGTGTGTGTGTGTTGTTTGCAAAATACAGGCATTGCAATGATGTAGGCTAAGTGACCACTACCAGTAATATTCATAGCAGACACTCACACTGTCAAAGGAATTTCTATCACCAGCACACACATCCTCACACTTTTACCCACACACATACACACATACACACTTATTTGCATTCAGTATTTATGGTTATTAAGCCTGGAGTAAATTTTAAAAGCCCCAACATCAAAAGTAGTATTTGTTCTCCAAATCTTCAAAACTGCTTATGTCTGCTAAAAAGAATTTCTACTACAACCAATAGCAACTGTTTCATTGATGTGGATAACCAATGAGAAATCAGGCCAACCATTGTGAGTTTTGATTGGCTGAGAGTGTAGCTAGGTTGAAGAAAATTTGAAAATTTAGCAGATGTCTGCATGAAAGGGAAGAGGCAGAGTCACGGCTGAGACTGTAACTTTGTTATTCCATCTGTGAAAACCACGGCAGAAAAATAAATTCCATAGTTTAGCTCACATCTGCCAAAAGAAAAAATATGGTCCAAATCCCTGAAATGAAAAGTCACACAAAAAACAACCTCTGTGATTAGTCACACCTCCAGAATGTGACAGGCCACAGTGCCAGTGTTTGTTTTCTCATAGTTGACAGATTATCATAATTTGACTCATAGGTGAAAGGTTTTAATGCTTCCAATCTTATTTAATCATTTCCACTCATAATATAGCCTATTTTCTGCTCGTGTACGTATTTCTGTGACGCAAAAATAAACAGGCATGAAAAGAAAGAAAAATAAATGGAGAAGAATGCACGGTCGCTTTAGACAGAGAGGAAGACGACAAACGAGTGATTCACAGAGAGAGAGAGAGAGGAGACCAAGTGAGAGAGAAATAGAGCGGAGAATGGAGAGCGGGGGATTTGGTGAGGGGTTAGGCAGGTTTTTCTCCTCGTTGGCTGTGGGTCTGTAACCAGGCAGTTTGTGTCGTCTCTCGAGTTGGCAGCTACACCTGGATAATTATTCATTCTGTTCATAAAAAAAACACTGAAACCTGCAGAACCCAGCTGCTGTGAGGCCGCCGTGTCGTGCCCGCCCTGTGAACACACATTCATGGCACGGAAATTAAGGCGCACGCTGATTATATGAATATTCCAACGACTATGTGCACACATGTTCAAGTGCAAAAAAACAGAGAAAGTATATATGTGCTCTGACTCAGGAGCTGTATTTATCATATAAAATATGAGGCATTTTTTATAAATTGAACTACCCAACAGTATATGAAGCAGTAATAATCAGCTCCACCTGCAGCAGCTCCAACATTAAAGTACTGATTACATGTTAATGCATCAATAATAATCCAATATTTTAATAATATCTCTATAAAGTATGTAGGGCAACCTTACCAAAATTATAATTAATATCAACAGCAATTCTAGTGATTGAAGTAGTCTGCTATTTTAGCTAGTAAAATTAATAATCACAAAATGAAAGTTGTGCAATTTTAAACTTTTATTTTAACAAGCAGTAAATTCATTAACCTATCCGAAAATGTGTTTTGATGAGGTCTTAAAATCAACCTTCTATTTCTAAATTCAAATGTTCAGTTTTGTCTGAAAAACCCACAGAGCAGAAAATGACAGATTCAAATTAGGCTTCACAGAAACATAAAATTGGATGTGAAATCTCCAACTCCAAATCAATTCAAATATAGAACACATGATGCCTAATGCAAAGATAAGAGAAAAGCAATCACTGCAGATTTTACAAGAGCTGGATGAGCAAACAGTACTCAGTCTCAGAAATGGGTACAGCGCTGCATTTCTGTATTAAAGAGGTTGTTTAATTCGGTCCACATGACTAGAGGAGATCTGTGAGCTCCAAGCAGCTTGGCTCCCACCTGCTTCAATTAGAAGCCTCTCTCAAACAGGAAAAAAAAAGAGCCTAAGTCATAGGTCAAACACAAAACGCCACTTTAAATGGAAGAAAAATAACTGGCTGGTTTCAAAGCTACGTTATCCGTCAGCCAAGAATAGGCTGGAGTTCAATATTTGGAGAGGTTGATTTGACACTTTATTACATTAGTGTATGTCACAGTCTGGCACACAGTGGGTGTGTGTGTGTGTACCTGAGTACTCTCTGCCAGACTACAGAGCTATAACTACCTGTGCTATTACTTAATTTATTTACACAACGTCAAGCATCATGATGCCAAGCAGGAAGTTGAGGCCTTGTGGACCCCATGCAGAGGATATGATGTCATGGTTTGAACGCTGGCACAAAGCAGCATGAGTTCATGGCTGTTGCTGTCCGTCAACCTCAGTGTCCCAAGCTGACAAGCAGCTAGAAGACATTTAAAAAGCACAGACAGAGCGAGCATTGTTTTAGTCATAAATAGCCAACATGTTGGATTTGGAAAATATGAGCTGCTATTTCATTGCTGTAGCTCATTTATAACCACTTCAAGATTTAGTATGTGAGTTTAGTCAATGAAAAAACCTCTTACTATGGGAAATGCATATAGATCCACACATGCATGCAAGCACTGTCGAAATAAAGGTAGCTTTTCAGTAAAACTAACAGACTTAACAGTGGAAACTCTCAAAGATGGTTTAAATACTTTAAACAATACAGGTAGAAGTTTGGACAGTCACTTTAAATTAATATTCAAAGTCCTGAGCAAGAAGTCAAAGTCACAGGGTGTTATTGAGGTGGCATTGTGGGCCTGACATATTTTGCTCGGCTGTCCGCATGTGTTGGAGACTGTGTGTGAGACAGGATGAGGCGGGGGCGAAAAGGTGAGACGAATGGCAGCAGTGTCACTAGGTGAATACAAGTGCGCACTCATGCATAC